GTTAAATGCTGGTACTCCTAAATATTTTTAATTCCCTCTTAGGAGCTTTTAAAAATATCTGTCCACTTCACAAAGACAAGTGATTTTGTAATGTGAGGATTTTACTGCTTTTTCCTCTACTTCTACTACAAGATTTTTTAATAGCATTAAAAACTGTTAGTTTTTCACATAATTTTCCTTTTCCTTCTTTCTGCCTCTGGGATGCAATGACACTGGAATTCATACATTAAACCAAAATAATGTTGTATTACATTTTTCTTTTTTGAATAAATTAAAGTTCTCACTGTGCTCTCTTTGAGGTAAACATGTAATTAAACACAGATCAGAATAATTTGTTCTAGCTGCAATGCTAGTTTTAAATTTATTAGGTTTCTCTTGTATTTTTTTTTATTCTTACTGAAAGTTCTTTTTGGAGTTGATGTACCTATTTAAAAATGCTGAGGTCACATCTGTGAAATCTGTGATTTCAATAATTGTGCTTTTTTTATTCAAGGAGATGTCCTTTGAACTTTCTGAGTCTTAAGAGCATGGGTCTATTCGCTGATGGAGTAGACTAAAATAAAATGCACTATAATGACCCCTAGACCTATAGCACATGTCCAGTCTGCTTGCTTACTACAGTGAGGTGCCTTTATTTTCCTTGCTAACTGATGGTTAGAAATAACTAACGCACTGTCGTAGCCTGATCTATTCCTGTCACCTTCTCCCCTATGGGTTCTTAGTTTCACTGCCTTGCTTGTCTTCATCTTATTTTTCCATCCTCAGCTAAAAGTGGCTTTTGGATTTTTTGCAGAATTGGCTACACGCAAAACAAAGCATTAATGAAACACTGCAGTGATTTTAACTGCATGCAGCACTTGCGTAGCTTTGTGGACTAATTTAAAGCCTTCTCACAATGTTTTGTCAATGACTGAGCTAATGACTGGTTCACCCCCTGTATGCTTCAAGGGGCATCCAAAATGCTGATCTCAGGGAAATTACATTTTCTGATTCCAATGCCACCCAGCCGTTAGCTCTGGTTTGGCCTTGCTGACCCTAGGAAGAGCTGCATGCCAGGTGCTTGGTTGGTAGCTAATAAACTAGACACCGCAGTGGTTGTACTCTTAATTTGCAAGAGAAAAATGGGCACTCCTTTTTTCCTATTGACCCTGCTGTATTTTGTCATGAAAAATAGCTCCATGGTAACATAACTGCTTATACCATTTGTGTATCTTCTGTGATACACAGATCATAGTTAACAGTAGTTGAGGAAGTTATATTAAGCAATATAAACCTGTTCTTTAATTGAGTCTTCTCAACAGAGCATCAAAAAAGGAAACTTTTCAACATATCTAAGTTCAGATGTTGCAGATTTTAACAGGCACATATAACACAAATCTACGGTCTTCTAAAATTAGAAAGTAGTAATTAGAAATTAGTGACTGTAGCACTGAGCTGCATTTTAAGACGATTTGAGTAATACAGAGCAGTATAACCTATCTTCAGTCCTAATATGCAGGAATTATTTCAATCTTTGGTTACACTTTGGGAAAATTGATTATAAGTAGAGTTTACTGAGAATCAGTTCTCAGTTTACTTCCAGATGATGCCATGAAAAATGCTGAATTAATTTACTATTGTAAGATTTGAACTCTATGTGACTTTAAATAAAATTTTAAAATTTTAATAAAAGTAATCTGACCACATACCCAAACAAGCTAAAGTGATCAGTTAACAGCCTTACTGAGCAGCTTGTTACTACATCCAGATCCCCACTAAGAAGGCTGTCCTGATACAGTGGTCCCAGTTATATACACATAACGTTAATGCAGTATGTAATTATATATATACCAGCACTTATTACAGCAATTCTCCAAAATGACATAATACCTCTTAGCAGTAGCACAATTACATCTATGCTATGACTTCTGCCAGTGAAGATATGCCAGGAGAAATACTTTGGAGTGGGCTGGCAAGAGCAGTCCAAGCTTTTGGCGCGACCCTGAGCTGGGAGGTGTGCAGATGCATCAGTGCTTTTCTGTGGAGTGGAGTGCAGAGATGCAGCTGCAGGGCTGTGGCTGGACAGACTGTCGTGCTGCACAGGCACAGCACCCACCTCATACTTCAGCAGAAAATCTGCAGCAAAACTAACTGCATTTTAGAAATCTGCTGTAAAACTAGCTGCTTCTCTACCAGTGCCTATAATTGGTGCAGCTTTGCTGGTTTTGAGACCCAAGTAATGCCTTCTGAGGTGATAGATACCCTTGGCTTGGAAAATTTGACAGAGACACCTGCAGAGGAGACTGCTTTCTGTGTAACTGTTTTGGGTTTTATGCCTTAGGTCAGGTATGAGAAAAAAAGAAAGAATCCAAATGGGGGATGCGTGTGTGAGAAGAATGCCAGGTGTGTGTATAACATAAGTAGGAAAATATTTAAACTTTGAATAAAAATATTGCCTAGAAGAGGCAAATTTATCTAACAGTTATTTCCTTAAAGGTAACAACTGACAGCTTCATTTTTTTATTTTCTACTAAATGCATGGGGAAATATACCTTAGTGTTAAAAGTTCAGTTTTGCTATTATTCAGTTGACTAGTGCCTTTACTTCATGTATGATCCTTTTGATAAGCTCTATCAGAGGAATCAGTATAATTGCATGGTATATCTAGGTCTCTCTGAAAAAATCACAGCAATTGCATTAGGAAATTATATCCAATTTAGGGATATTAGATATTCCATTACTCCTGCTTTCACTCTGTAGCATTAGTAGGACTCATGCCTGTCTTTATTTTCTCCCCTTTAGCCCTAAACAACAGGCAAAAATGGCAGAGTACTGCAGACTGATATTTGGAGATGCACTGCTTATGGATCCATTGGAAAAATACCCGGTAATGAGGTTTGGTATTTTTCAGATCACAAATATCTGTGTGATTCTAATTTCAGTATTTCAGTCCTGAGTCATTCTTCATATATGGCCTTTTAAAACAGTCTAAAGGAGGAGGTTAACCAATGTGAGCTGTTGGTGACTTAAGCTTACACTTTCTGATGCAGAGATTGTTCTGATACAGTGAATTGTCATCTTCTAAATGCAATTGATTCTCATAGCTGCCATTTTATAATGTAGGCTTTCATATTTTAACTAATACTTATTTCTTTTATTATTATAGACATTTCATAATTTCTTTTCTTCTTAAGTGTCCTCAGTAGCCCTGTTTCATTTAATATTACCTCTTCTCCAAAATACATTTCATTTGAACAGGACTTATAGAGGTTACAAAATTATCTTGCACCATGTGGGCCCTAAGAAATTGCCATAAGCTCATTTCTTTTGTTGTTGTAACACATTTCTCTTCCTTTTTCTGCAAGCTTGAAGCTGGGGTTCCTCTTCCAAGCCCTATGGATTTAATGTACAAAATTCTGGTGAAGAATAAAAAGAAGTCGCATAAGTCTGCAGATGGAAGTGCAAAAAAGAAGCTCTCAGAGCAAGCTTCCAACACATGCAGTGATACATCTAGTATGTTTGAACCTTCCTCCCCTGGAGCAGGTATGAATTGAATCTACAAATATATTTCTCCCTAAAACGCAGATGCCTAATTACAGCTATAATTCAATCAATTTCTGTTGCTTTAGCAAGGTAAAGGTACACCAGTCTGGGTCTTACACAGTAGGAAACCAATGCTAAGTGTCATTGATCCAGCAGTCTGAGAAGGCTTGTAGCTGAGGAATCATTTATGGAGTGACCTAAAGCTCAGTGATGAATAATAACATTCACCTGCACTGCTTAGGAAGTGAGCTGCCAGCTCTTCCACCCTTGGATGCCTTTTCTGTGTGACCAAGCCCAATACCAAATATAAATTTTTTTGTTTGTCTATCTTCTCTGAGATGTGCCTACCGTTTGGTGCCCTTCCAGACTTAACCCATTGCACAGGAGAACTGCAGTGGCTCTGCAGTGTCTTAAGATTTAGAGTAACTGTGAATGAGATACCTGTTTCTCAGGCAGGTAAAGCTCAACCTGCTGTTGTCCTGTATTAGTTGTGAACAGGTCACAGACCTCTATGGAAAGTGCTATAAGATGTTTTTCTGTTCCAGAAATGGAAACAGGCAAAAATAATACTGTAAACAAATATTTGTTACCATCAGGAATTGTAGAGAATGTAGCCAATGGGAAAGTAGTATATTAGATTTAATTTGTTCATTATTAGCAGAATATTTTAATCAGAAATTAAATAGAAAACTTATTATTTAACGCATATATCCTTGTAAGGCCTATGGGATCTGTGACTGTTGGTATGCAAAATTTAGTAAGAGATGGTCTTTGATCTAAAGAGCTTAAAACCTAACTAGAAAAGACAAAGAGGAGTGCAGAGAATAAGATAACGTAAGGATTTGTTCTAAACCACAGGAGCAGAGTAGCATCAGGACAGACGACAAAATCTGTGTATCCCGATTCCAAGCCCAGTGTCTGTTCTCTGCACTAGAATTTCTTCTTCCTGTTAAGACTGAAATTTTGGATTTTTAAAAGTGTAGTCATTTATACCCCAATAGTAGAACACTTCTGGAGCAGATTGAAAGCTCTACTGGAATATAAGTTCATTACCATTTGCCATTAAGAAACTTCTTTCCATTTTTAATATTTTCTAAACTCTGATTAATTGAGCCAAAAATTTTCATGCTGGCAGTTTGCCTCAAGCTGAATTAAAAAAAAAATCCAGCTGTATTTGTGGATAATATTGCTTAACCTATTAGAAGCAAAGAAAGAGTTTTCAACTATTATGTTAAGAAACTTTGAAAGGGGCATGGTTTTGAGTAGGGCTTGGATTTCAAAGGAAGATTCATCCTGGTGTCAGGAATGATTTAATACTGTTTTATTAATTTGCTTTAGACAGATCCCAAGCAACAGAGAAATAAGTGTGTGTATGCCAACTGACTCCTTTCCAACACTTGAAATCAGCTCTGAATTCCTAACTCTTACATTTTTGTTACCAGCGCATAGTGAGAACCAGTGGCAAAGTATGTCTTCTGCTATGTAATTTCTTCCAAGTGTCTGATCTGCATAGAGGGTAACAGCTTTTTCTTTCAGTAGCCTCTTTATGAGCTTTTGTAGGAAAAGACCTGGGCTTTGAATATAGATGTTGATGATGATGCAAGGCAGGAAGGCCAGTCCCATAATAAGGTGTCTAATTTTACAGGTTAACTGTGAATATTATGTCTATATTACCTATATAGCAGCTGTAGGTTGTGAAGATGAACACTTACAAAGTAGAAAATGCTAGAACTGAGATGGCAAAATTTACGTGGTCACATGGTTCATCTGTGACTGCCAAAATACATTACTTGTAATCCTTCTGTCAGCCATTGTTTCTCCTTTAGGACCTATGCCTCTTTTGGAGATTGCAGTTAGTATTTTTTCTCTCCCTGTCGTTTAATACTTGATCCTAGATGTAGCATCCTCATCTTGCAGTGACCTTCTGGGGTGGTATCCAGGCTGCACATGTGGACTTGACAAACAGCAGTGAATTTGTCTGAATAATACCTGTGGGAATTGAAATAGTATTCAGCCAATTTTATCTAAGGACAGCCAAGTCTGAGAGAGCTTAAGAACAATTTAGAAGTGACTGACAGGGAACATCCAGGATCTGATTTTTCAAGAATACTTTGAATTTTTAAGCATGCAGAGCACAGCTCCAGAGATTTCAGCTGCAGCTTACAGCTATGAGCGCTCAGCATTTCTGTAAATCAGATGCCAGATTTCTGTCTGTGCACATTTAAAAAGCCCAGTTATTCACCATTTTATAAGACCGTGCTGGCAAGACCCAGTGAAGAGCATGGCTCCATGGGGTAGGGCTCAACAGTCACCTTGACACCCTTCTTTTCACAGCCTTATTCCTTATGTGCATCTCAGTATCATCAACAGGTAATGCTGGAGCACTGCAGGCACTATGTTCCTCTGTGTCCAATACCAATTTCTTTCTGGAGCACGAGAAGAGTAATGCAATTAAAGACTCACTAAAGGAAGCCTAATTCTTAAAATTTCTTAACATGAAGTGTTTTGATGCTCCAACCTTAATATAAACTTTACATTTAACAAGTTGGACATTTTAGTCAAATAACTTTATTCTGTTGTATAGCTCCTGTCAGAATTACTGGCGATCTGCAGGAGGAAGTTGTGCTGATTCACCTTTCTTGAGATTTTAAATGAGTTTTTTCACAGCAACGCAAAAAATACCGAGACTCATGCTTCAGTTGATAGCAAGCTTCACTGTGTCTTACACTGCTTGAGGTCAAATTTAAACCCAAGTAAACCACTCTTTGATGTGTTTATGAAACATCTCATAAAAGCTAGGTGGTGATGATATAGCAGCAATAATTAGAAAACCAATTCTGAAATGTGCTTTGCGGAATGGCTTGCAAGATGTTTGTGAAACTGATGTAAAAAGTAACTTCAGTAGAATATAATATCTGTCAGTAGAATAAGCTTTCCCTGAAGGTACAGCAAAGCTGGCAAAGCAGAAAAAGAATTTCTAAGATAACACTTGTGATAGATTATCATTTTGGTAAACAAGCCTCTTAGACCTGGCTGTTTTAGCACAATGAACAGAAGTAAATCAGCAATGTTTTCAAAGTTAGATTACACTGCAAAAAGAACAGTGGCAGTTCTGCAGGTACATACACTGTACCAAAAGTAGGCCTATACTGAAAATAGCCAAAAGTTGCTAATTGAACAGTATTTAAAATTTCAAGCAAATTGTTAATTTCACCCTGATAGGATATTTTTGTCAGAGTAGTGGGTGCTGTAAGGGAAGAGCCACAGAAAGACAGAGAGAGAGAGAGGGTAGAATCAGCCCCATTGTTTCATGATGACTGAATAGAAAACTGGATAAAATTTTTAGGTTCAATGTATGTAAATGCATTGGCACATTGCTGCTGCGTGTCAGCTGAGGCCATGGCCCACCGTTACAAAGTGAAATGTTATACCAAACTGAATAAAGTTCATTTTTTCCTTTCAAGAAATCAGCAAGTGCTGATGTACAGCCTGTGGAAAAAATAAAAGGTTACTTTTCCCCCCAGCATGCTGGTGACTGCCTAAACTTACAGAGCTAACAAGCTGCACCGCCTAATACCACATTTATAATCCATTCTGGCTGTTACTTTAAAGGGATCTGAGAAAGATTACCAAATTCCTCTGAGTTTCAAGCAATGTATAACCTTTCATTTTAGTAGACTCTCCATGTCTGTCAGGCTGCTGAGGCATGGTGAGAATGGATAGTAGGGATGTGGCTTGTCATTCCCAGCTCCCCTCTCCTGATCATCTTCCATTCAGTATTACTGTGTTGAACCCCTTTACCCATAAGTTGGGATTCAGCCTCCTTTGTCCATTTGTTACATTGCCCAGTGAGCATGTTTATGCCTTCCCCATGCTGCCTCACTCACTAGGATGAGCTCCTTGGAAATATCCTTGAATCTGCCCCGTTACTCCATTGAGAAGTTTCCTGTGCCCTCCTACCTACAAGTGGCTGACAATATCCACATTATAACTTAACCTGTTGTGGTAGGGAGCAACATCTTTTTATTTTTTTTTGATATTCTTCTGTCTGCTTCTGTCCATGGGCATGGCTCTCTTTTTTCACTGTATTTATATGCCATATAGCATGGATAGGTCCTGTCCTGACCTGGGTTTGTAGTCTCATCTAAATGCAACTAATAATTATGCCATTATAGCTAGTTTTCCCTTAGACAAGCTCCCATGTGCATACTGGACTTGACGTGCAGCACACCTGCGTATGCCAGCCCATGTGCATTCATGATATGCGGTGTTCGTGCCCTCCTGGGAATGATGGCATGAAGCTGATCTCACCACCACTGTGGGAGAGTGAGCATGAAGACTTCCACAGCACAGACATCTCCTCAGTCTGGCCAAGACTTGCTCTGACTTTGTGTCCCAGCAGCATAATGGGAAAAGAAGGTTGGGTTTGATCATAGGAACATGCTAGTGGGTGGAAGGCAATGTAGAAGTACTCATACTTGCTAAAACACTTACTGATTTTTATTCTGTGTTTGCAATCCTGTGTATTATTTGTCCTGGTTTTGCTGTCTAATGCAGAACTTGAAAATGAGAACTGATCTGCTTGGGAGTTTTCCTGTTAAACATTTTAAATAAATGAATAACATGTTGCATACTTTCCTCCCTGGACACTTCTAGCAAGAACAAACTATCATCTACCAGGTTTCTCAGCAGTGCAAGTTGACTGAAATCTGCCTACATCCCCCATTTTGTGGACTATGTGAAGTATTCTTTTGCCAGTCTGATTGAATCAGTTGAGAGCGTCACCATCCAAAGATTGTCACTGCAAATCCTGTGAGAGCTCGGCTGGCTCTTTGTGATGTGTTGAAGTTTCCTGAGCCAGTCCTTGAGCCTGTTGAGCAATGGTGTTATTTTCTTCAATGAAATGTTCAGGAAGAAGTGTGTTCGTGAATAAAAGCCTGACATTTCGACATCTGCATCTGGAAGAAAACACAGCCTGGGTAGTCATCATTTGGTTGTGAAAGGCACACTCATTATTTAAGTCATATGTGCTCTCCATGTTCAGAAGGGGCCCACTGGGCATGACTCAAGACCTGCTGGAAAAAAAGAGGAGTTTCTTTATTGACTCAGTGGGCTTTGAAATAAACCCTAAATTGACAGAAGGAACCGAGAATGAATTCCCATTCTCTGGAGAGTTTGGGAATGCTGCACAGTGTTAGATTTTTGGGCTGCCAAAATAAAATTGCTGCTTCTGAAGAAAGCTGAAAGGTTTGTGGAATAAAATCTTTAGGGAGAGTTGTGAGTCTTACAGGTGTGGACAGGTGACTGCAGTATAAGTTAAGTCTTCTTTTCCAGATTCATCTTAAGATGCACAGTGTTTACTTTATGACAGCCAAACCCACAAGAAGAGTTACAAAAGAGGAAGATAAGCTTGCTATTCCTTGATGGTTTAATTTCAGATGCAACCAAATCAAAACATTTTGGAGGCAAGGGGAAGCATGTATTAATTAACAATAAAGAATATGAGTCTTGCTCATAGGAATATGATGATTACACCACAACTGGGAGCAAGGCATAAAATGCATTTTATTTGGTCCCATTTACTTCATCACTAGATTTTTCAGGCAAAGGATGAGCCTTATGTGTGTTTTTTGCGTTATTTGATTTGCACTGCCCTCAGCCGGTGCATTTGAGCTATGCCACCAGAGTCCTAGCAGTGAGGCACACCTTGCTGGAACTGAAGTCAAGCTGTCACAGTCAGGCTTCCGCGCCTGTTCCTACCAGCTGCGCTACCTCAGTACATGTGTTACAACCAGAACAGATGGATTTTGCTAAACAGTCCTTGCCAGCACAGCACGTGAGAATCTCCTCGGTTTCCATGCGTGGTTTCTTCACCCCATGCATACTGTTACTTGTACGCTTCCTGGAGAGGGTCAAGGCATTCACTGAGGGTCGTGCAGGGATCCTGCACAGAGAGGAAGGTTGAACTCGCGTCTCCCAAACCACAGAACTTGTGCCACAAGCACGGGAACACCTCTTCAGAGTAGTTTGTGACACTATACACACACACTGCACACACTATGCACACTGCGAGGCTCTTTTCTCAGTGCTGATACCTACCCCATGATTTTCATACATTGAGCATCCAGGAGCTGCAAAGGAAGAGCTTTTGTTTGTTTGGACAAGAACTTAATGCTGAGGATGGATGAATCCCTCGAGACAGTGTATTTGATTTGTGCTGGGACAAAAAGCACATGTATAATGTACTCTGTCTTAAGCAGTGCTACTTGTACATCTTTCTCAAATTTACTGCTGCATTATAACTAATGCTTCAGCCAGTAATTATCTTCTGCTTAAAACTTTTCAGGAGAAGCAGAGATTGAGAGCGATGATGATGATGACTATGATGATGACTGTAAAAAGTCGTCGATGGATGAAGTAAGGGTGTAGATATGTTTTGTGGTGATGGGTAGGTTCCAGCAGTTGTGGGTTGGCTTGTGTTACTAGGAGTGGGACTACCATCTAGTGGAGAAAGGGAGGAAGAGCACCGGGAATCACCACCAACTTTCTGAAGTTGGTTGTTAATCGGTTTGGAAGCACACCTTTGTTTACTTATATTTTCATTTACTGAAGAGTAAGAATTAATAGCACCACAGCTGATGTGTTTTAGACAACTGCCTGTGATGTACTTAACATTGTTGGAAGAAAAACCTGACATCAAAAACTGAGCTGTATTTATTATTTATCCAACAGTACTGATGAATGTGCTTAGCACTATGCATCTGTAAAGGTTATGCAGTCCCTTACCTAGGAGCCACATAGCAGCGGTTTTATTAAACATTTAAATTCTATAGCAAGTTTTCTTCTTTGCTATGTGAAGCTCCGTATCTGACTCACTGACTTTACTAACCCAGGATCAGTGAGAGATATAATGGTTGACAGGAAACTGGACATTGGTATTTGTGGCCTCTGGTGGCCACCATGGACAGATCAAAACTGCAGCATTTTTCCTTCTCTGTCCTAGGGTACTGCTGGAAGTGAGGCTATGGCCACAGAAGAGATGTCTAACCTGGTAAACTACATTCAACCTGTGAAGTTTGAGTCATTTGAAGTATCAAAAAGTAAGTAAGCTAAGCACAAGCAACATCTTATAGTGGAAATCACCTACCAAGTGTTTGGAAGAAAATTCTGGAGAAATGCTGCTTGGGTTCCTCTCAGTTAGATACAGGCACACGGACAGAAAATGTTCCCTTGGTATCCAGCCAAATAGATCATATTTATTTTGAAACCTGCATTAGTCTAAATATAAAACTTCATCAAAAGTAAACATTCTGCCATTTCAAAAACATTTTTGAAAGTGTTGTACTTACATTATCTTTATTGTCCATGACTGAAAAGTAACTTATGGTCATAAATATTCCTTGGGATTAAGTGAGTGCTTTATAGTTTGCCTCTCCTATGTTTATAGTGGATTCAGTGTAAGCAAAGTCGGCCCTTCCCCATATGCAAATTCACTCATTCCTGCCTCTGTGTATTGTATAGAAAAGGCCATAATTTCATCCCCTGCTGGGTTTTACAGAAGATGCCTTGCTAGGAATGCAGTCAGTGGCATCCTCAAAAACCACTGCAGCATCTTTTCCTTTCTTGATGCAGAACCCCTACTGTTTGCCTGCCCTTTTTCACTTTGTTTTGACAGGTTGCAATATGCTCTTGGAGCTGTTCAGTTTAGCACTTAGTTTAAGTGTATAGCATTTTAATTCAGTATGGATTAGTGGCGGCCTTGGCAGAGGACAGGTAACTGGTGCCTAAGTCCATGCCTGTATACAAAATTTTGCATTTATTCATCATGAATAATAAACATATAAGAAATTATCTGCCTTTTCATTTGTATGTTTGTATTTATCTAGACATACACACAAGCTATGCTTGTTCCTTTTAGTCCCTTTGGATGTTTATAATCTCCATTAGCTCTAGTGAGAGTTACAAGAACACAGTGGGAAGGAGATACTTTTTCTGGATAGGAAATGATGTGAATCCTAGCAGGACAAGCTGGTGCAGCTGTTATAAAATTGTCTTGTGTAGATTTCTACTGTTCACATGCCTGTGCCTTTCGAAGTTTTGTCTTTTGTAAAGAACTGCTGATGTCCAGATCTTTTATCGTGAGTCTTGATGTGACCTTTGATCAATTATACTGTTTCTGTGAACTCATAATGTTAAGGAATTAGTATTTCTGATGTTCATTGTGTGGTAACCATGGCCAGTCTGTTAAAGCAGTGGTGACATTTGCATGGTAAGTGCTGCTGCTGGGTTAAATCAGTGGACACTATTAACATGACATGGTCTACCTTGACTTCAGTAAAGCCT